AGCTATCGAATCGGTCCAATTGATTTCCTTTTGTTCCCGTTGAAATTTGTTTGATTCGTCTGGATTTAGATGTTCAATTTCGTGTATAATTGAAATCTAGGTCTTGAATCAGTTCTTAGAAGTGTCTGATTTGGTTATAGATTCTCAATTTGATCCAGATCAGGGGTTTATTTGTTGTGCATAACTTTGGATGTTATTACTTAGTGAAAGAGATGAATAAAGTTTCTATTTTGATGGTGTTCATCGATTTTTCTGACTGATTCAGAGCTGTCCCTTTTTCGAGTTTGTTTAACAGAGATTGGTGCAGCATCAACCAACTCAGCATCCAACTTCTGAAGAACTTAGTATTGGTAAAATCAAATTCAAGGCATTCGACTTAGGCGGTCATCAAATCGCACGAAGAGTGTGGAAAGATTACTATGCTAAGGTGAAATCTCATATCACTAATAACGCCTTTTACGCACTAAGAACCGATGCATCTTGAGTAGCCTTTCTTCGAATATTACTTCACATGAGACATTGATTCCTAAATCCTGATGTTTCGCTTTACATAAGATGCTTAGAATCTTGATTCTTCTTTATGGGTTTTTGACAGGTTGATGCTGTGGTCTACCTAGTGGATGCTTATGACAAAGAGAGATTTGCAGAATCGAAAAAAGAGCTTGACGCACTTCTCTCAGACGAATCTCTAGCTGATGTCCCATTCCTCATACTAGGGAACAAAATCGACATCCCTTATGCTGCATCTGAAGACGAGCTTCGATTCCATCTTGGCCTCTCTAATTTCACCACCGGTAAAGGCAAAGTGAATCTAACTGACTCGAATGTGAGACCGTTGGAAGTGTTTATGTGCAGCATTGTTAGAAAAATGGGATATGGTGATGGCTTCAAGTGGGTCTCTCAATACATCAAATAGATCGCGGCATCGATAGCATCCTTGGCCTGTGTTTTCATATTTTGCTTCTCGTACTTTAAAGTTCTTGTCTTGTTGCTTACAACCCTGTTTGACAAAAAACAAAAAAAAACCTTGTATTTGTGTTAGTATATGTAGATTCGTATTCTGAATATATCATCAGTTTCATGTAATGATGTGATTCATCAACCTTGTACTATTATGAGTTTTCATTTTATGTTTGTGTTTGGTGCAGTTTTGTTAATTATATAGGGGGAAGTTTTGAGTCTTTGGACCCAAAAAAAAAGCAGAGGAAATTTCGATTTCGGCAATTGCTCGACTCCCATTGTAATCAAATAGCAATGGGCTGTTCCAATTCGAGCCCATCATCTTCTCAAAAAAATATTGGCAACACAAAACTACACTATAACC